TGCCTCGTATCTCAAAGTTCTTTTCATGTCCTATAAAGCCCGGTCAGATTCCATCCCCTGGGCTGCTGGAGCCAGACCCCTGGGCTGGGGGTGATGGTGGGTGGCAGCCCTGGGCAAGGGCAGAGATGGGCCATGGCTCCGAATTTCAAAAGTGCTCAGCCCCCAGCAGGTTCCATTGAGAATAACTAGGGGAGGAGCCTCCATTGTTCTCACTGGGGCAGGGAGCCGCCATTGTTCTCACTGGCGGGGGGGGGCCTCTATTCTCAGTGTGGAGGGAGAGCCTCCATTGTTCTCACTGGTGTGGGAGCCGCCATTGTTCTCACTGGGGTGGGGGGCCTCCGCTGTTCTCACTGGAGGGGAGCTTCCATCCCCTGCTAGCACTGGGGCAAGGGAGTTTGTCGCTGCTATTCTGGGGCTCTCCTGCTGCCCCCTCCTCAGCGCTGACCAAGCACAGAAATGCCTCCAGCTCTCAGGGCCCCTGCTCTCAGCCCTGCCCTCACAGCTCAAGGGCATTAATATCCTGGGGGGTTCAATGGATGGCAGGCCCCATCCTGTGTCTCCATCGCAGCCAGGAGGCCTTTGGTGCAGCCAGCTCTGAGCTTGGTCCCAGGCCCAGCCAGTGCTGCTGCCAAGGGTTTAGGAGAGGAGCAACAGGGGCGCCTGCTGGCTGGAGAGGGGAGGCCTGGCCCAGGCACTAGGAAATGAGCAGTCGATCAAAGGCGATGCCCTGTGATTAATGCCCTATGCTATCAGTAGTAAAGATGTGTATCTTGACCCACAGCACCCCCCTGCCCTCACCACAAGACCCCATTCCCCTCCCTAGGCTGGGCATAAAGCCAAGGAGGCCTGACTCCCAGCAGCTAAGAACAGCCATACTGAGTCCGGCCAATGGTCCAGCTAGCCCAGTAGCCTGTCTTGCAGCAGTGGCCAATGCCAAGTGCTTCAGAGGGAATGAACAGAACAGGGCAATTTAGAGTGAGCCATCCCCTGTCGTCCAGTCCCAACTTCTGGCAGTCAGAGGTTTAGGGACACCCAGAGCATGAGGCTGCGTCCCTGTCTATTTGGGCTAATAGCCATTGATGCACCTACCCACCATGAACTTAGCTAACTATTTTTTGAACCCAGTTGTATGTTTGACCTTCACAACATTCCCCTGGCAATGAGTTCCACAGGTTGACTGTGTGTTGTGTGAAGGACTTCTTTATATTAGTTTTAACCCTGCTGCCTGTTAATTTCATTGGCTGACCCCTGGGTCTTGTGTTAGGTGAAGAGGTAAATGACACTTTCCTATTCACTTTCTCCACACCAGTCATGATTTTATAGACCGCAATCATATCCACCCTTAGTCGGCTTTTTTCTAAGATGAACAGTCCCAGTCTTTTTAATCTCTTCTTATACAAAAGTATAAGTTCCATATCCCTAATATTTTTTGTTGCTCTTTGCTGTACTTTTTCCAATTCTAATATATCTTTTTTAGCTGGGGCAACGACAACTGCACGCAGTATGCGAGTATCCATGTACCATGGATTAATAGAGTGGCATTATAATAGTTGCTGTTTTATTATCTATCCCTTTCCTAGTGGTTCCTAATAGTCTGTTCCCTTTTTTGACTGCCGCTGCACATTGGGTGGATGTTTTCATCCACAACTAGCCACAGTGACGCCAAGAGCTCTTTCTTGAGTGATAACAGCTAATTTAGACCCCCATCATTTTCTATGTATGGTTGGGATTATGTTTTCCAATGTACAGTACTTTGTATTTATCAATATTGAATGTCAGCTGCACTTTTGTTGCCAGTCACCCAGTTCTGTGAGCTCCCTTTGTAACTCTTCGCAGCCAGCTTTGGCCTGAACTGTGGAGTAATTTTGTATTGTCTGAAAATTTTGCAACCTCATTCCTCCCCCCCACCACCCCCCCCCGGCTTTTCCAGGTCATTTATGTTGAACAGCACAGGTCCCGGTACAGCTCCTTGGGGACCCTGCTATTTAGCTCTCTCCATTGTGATAATGACCATTTTTTCCTATTCTTTGTTTCCTATCTTTTAACCAATTACTGATCCATGCAAGGCCTTTACCTCTTTTCCCATGATAGTTTACATTATTTAAGAGCCTTTGGTGTGGGACCTTATCAAAGGCTTTCTGACAGGCTAAGTACACTGTTTTGACTGGATCACCTTTGTCCACATACTTCCTCTCAGAGAATTCTCATAGATGGGTGCGGGATGATTCCCCTTTATAAAAGCCATGTTGACTCTTCCCCAGCATATGTGTCTGATAATCCTGTTCTTTTAAAAAAAATCAGCATTACACTAGCTACCATCCAGTCATCTGGTGCAGTTCTGTAATTTCACATTTGAGTTCCTTCAGAACTCTTGGGTGAATACCAGCTGGTCCTGGTGATTTATTACTGCTTAATTTATCTATTTGTTCCAAAACCTCCTCTATTGACATCTCAATCTGGAACAGTTCCTCAGATTTGTCACCTAAAAAAGAATGGCTCAGGTGTCGGAATCTCCCTCATATCTGAAGTGACGACTGATGCAAAGAATTCATTTAGCCTCTCTGCAGCAGCCTTGTCTTCTTTGTGTGCTCCTTCAGCACCTTGATCATCCAATGGCCCGACTGATTTTTTGCGGGGCAGGCTTCTTGCTTCTGATATACTTACAAAAAAATGCTGTTAGCAAAACATCCTGCTCTAACAATTACACCCCACTCCCTTTCCCGAGCAAGGGTTAATATTAGACATGAGCTTTTTCTTTTTAAAAAAAAATCACTGTTTCTCTCTCCTGTCTTGCCCTGTGAAGTCTTTTTCTCTCATTTGGTCTCTTTCCTTTTGGGGGCCTTTTAAAAATTATTTCCAAAGCCAGGGGACAAAACAACAACAGAAACCGTTTTAATTCTCTTTTGTTTTTTATTTGTCCTTCACATAGTTCTTTTGATTAGTTCCTTAGTTTCATTTTTACATGCGCACAGTTTGGGTTCAGCATCGGAATGTGGAGCTGTTCAAATAATAACCAGTTTCGAGAAACAAAGAGTAACGGCATGGTAGAAAATGATGCCCGAAGTACAAACACGTACAGAGAATACCCACGGCGGAGGTGAGCTCGGGTGTATTTACAGTGCAGGGCAGGAGAGGTTAGCAACTTGTGGCCATTGGGGCACTCTGCAATCTTGTATGACCTCTAAGCAGCGACCAGGTTAAAGGTCCTCACAGCTGAAAGAGTCCCCCCTAGGGAGCCAGTTTGATGAGGTCAGTCCCAGGTACGCTCATGATGGGGAGCTGCTGATTCTGGGCCTGCTTCTGTCTCACCTAGCGCCTGATCCTGAGAGGTGCCGAGCCCTGCTGCCTCCCATTGGCCTCAGACACAGTGCTAGTGCTCTCTGGGACAGGCCCTCAGGAAGGTTTTACTTGGGTGATTTTCCATGGTGTGGGCAAGAGCAGGATGTGGCCCGGGGTTGATGCTTGGGTGCTCTAGGAACAGGCCATTGGCTCTGAGTGGGGTGGGGGCTTTGTCTCCCTTTGCTCTTCCTCTCCGGCACCTTTGCCCTCCCACCTCCCTGCAGATCAGACTCAGCCCCCAAACAAGCCCTCACTCTGCAAAGTGGGGCAACATCACTAGTCCAATTTTAGAGAGGAGGGGACTCAGCACGGGCCATGGGGTGACTCTCCCAAAGCCACACAGTACGTCAGCAGCAAAGATGGACCCACGCAGCCCCCCGTTTTAATCACCAGACACATTCACTCCCAGAGCCTGAACTAGAACCAATGTCCTGAGTCCCATTCTCCCATTCCAACCACTAGATGTCCTGACTCCCAGTCCCACCTCTCTAACCCCCTGCTCCAGGTACCACGCCTCTCCCAGACCTGGGGGTCGCACCCAGGAGTCCTGACCCCCAGTCCCACTGCTCTAACCCCTGCTCCAGGTACCACGCCCCTCCTAGAGCTGGGCTAGACCCCAGTGGTCCTATGGCTTGAAGCACCAGGAGCAAAAGTGGTTCATCAGCCACAGCTTCCTTTCTAAGGGCAGGGCCGAGGCTCCCTCTGGGGTGAGTGGGATTCTGCAGGTGCCACTGAGTCTAGCGCAGGGGCCGGGGGGGTGGGAGCGCCCCATACCCAGCTCTCTGAACTTTGGAGACATGTTGTGAGCTGCCCTCTCCTGAATCCATGCGTGTCCGGGTCAGCATGCAGCAGCCAGCTCCCCGCAGGGACCAGGGACATCAGTGTCTCCCACCAGGCCAGACAGCCCCGAGCAAGACAGGCCAGCCCAATGTAGAGGGAGGGCTCCAGGACTGGGCTGAGGCCCAGGGTGCCCAGGACACCTGGGCACCTGGGATGTGGGGTGGCCAGGACTGAAGCCCCGACAACCAGGGCCCCTAGCTCAACAGGTGAATAATCCAGGGGACGTCAGACCATCCACCTCAGCTGAGCCAAAGGAAAATCTGCTCCAGGGACCAAGTGCCCAGCCCTTATAGCAGGTATACCTGTCCATCCCCCCCGCACGCACACACAGAGCGCCCAGCCCTTATAGCCAGTGCACTCCTCAGAGCATGCAGCTCCCAGGCCCTATAGCTGGTGCACCTCCCTGTCCCGTCACCGCGCCCAGCCTGTATAGCAAGTGCACACACCCCCAAGCAGAAGCTCCCAGCCCCTACAGCGGTGCACCTCCCCCTCCCTCCCAAGTGCCCAGCTCCTGTAGCACGTACACCTCAGGGACCCTCCAGAGCACCTGGTTCCCAACCCCTCCCCGAGAGCGCGGCTCCTGGCCCCTATAGCAAGTGTACCTCCCAGCCACCCCCCAGGGTGCCTGGCCCTTATAGCAAGTGTACTTCAGCCTCACCCCCCCAAGTCCTTGGCTCTCTGCTCTTCAAAGCATGTGGCTCCCAGCCTCTATAGTGAATACAGCCCCAGCCCCCCCGCATGGACTCTGGCCCCTAAGCATGCAGCTTCCAGCACCACCCCCACCAGCCCCAGCACAGGGCAGCCAGCCCCTATAGCGAGTGCACCTGTCGGCCCCCAGCATGCACTGCAGGACAGGCTGTCATTTTAGTGGAAGGGTTTCTTGGATCTGAAGCCCGGGAAGCACCAGGTGTGGAGCCCAGCGCCCCACTCACACACCCCATCCACGCATCTCAAAACACTTGACCACCAGCAGTGAATTTAGCCTGGCAACCCCCTAGGGAAGTGTCATTAACACCTTAGACAGCAGGGGAAATTGAGGCAGGGGGTAACTTGGCCCTGGTCACCCTACAAGTAGCGGAGCTGGAAATAGAACCCAAGAGTCCTGATTTCCCCTCCCCCCCCTGCACCTGCTCTAATCCACTGGAGCCCACTTCCCTCCCAGAGCTGCAGATAGAACCCAGGAGTCCTGATTCCCAGCTCCCTGCCTGTACTACTACACATACACTAAATATGTATTTATCTCCTCCCTAGCTCGCCCTGGAGCCAGGAAAAGAACCCAGGTGTCCTAGCTCACATCCATTGGCTAAGCACAGACCTGGGATTGCATAGCTCTGATAGAGGTCACCTGAGGTCAGGCCGAGGTAGCTGATTGGAGCAGGCTCACCCAGAGCTCTGGTCTTTCCTCATCTAGACAAAGCCTCTGGCTTTTCCTGACCCATGAACCCTTGGGAAGTTCAGCATTGGACAGCTCCCAAACAAACCCACCGCAGAGTCCCTGTGGCCCTGGGAATCAGGAGGAACTTAATATTTACTGTTAGATACAGAGCGGGCTGGATAGAAACAGGCTTCATGGATACGTCCCCACCAGCGCTCCATTGATACCCCTCAGTTCTGACCGCAGACACTCTCTACCAGTCCCCCTCAATCCCAACCTGCAGCCCCCTGGTATCTCAGCCCTGGGCTCCCCAGTCACTGCTCTACCGGTGCCCCTCAATCCCAACCTGCACTCCCTGCTATCTGAGCCCTGGGCTCCCACACACAGCTCTGCCAATGCTAGTCTATCACAACCTATTCTTCATTCCCTTTCCAGCCCCTCTAGGGTGCCCAGCCCCCCAGCTCCTGCTATTCCAGTCCTGCCTCCTGCCCCCAGCTCTGCCAATGCCTAGAGCCTGCTGGCTCCCATGGCACTTGCTGAATCCTGCTGCACCACAGCCCACGGCAGCTCAGCAGAGTTAACAGTTGTAAGCTGAGACTGCCACAGTCATTGCATGTGTGACTAGACCAGGCCCAGAGTGCAGGGTTCAAACGTGCCCCCTTCCAAAAAAAACCCGTCCCTGTCCTGCAAGGTGGGAGTGGGGCTGTGGAGTTTGCTCCAGGCCATCCTGCGCTTGGGAGCCAAGTCCTGTTAACAGCCAGGTGTGCAAAGGGGCCTGCTTTGGAGCCCCCCTCCAGCCACGGGACACGGATCAGAGTAACACTCTGCTCTGTTATGGTCATTCCACCCCACAGGGCGGAGGGTGAACCTGCCCCGGCCCCTGCCCGTCCTTCCACGCATGTCGCTCAGGGGCACTTGGGAGCAGTGACATGTCTGGCTCCGCGGCCTAGGGAGAGACACAGGATGGAGCGGGCGGGCGGGGGCGGGGGGAGAGAGGGGGTGGCGAGGCCTTGGGAAGCCCTTGTCTCAGTTCCATTTATTATTCTGCACGTCTGAGAGACGTGGCTTCACCTGGCCTTATTGTGGAGCATGTACCTGGCTCCTTTACTGTTTAGCAAGTGTTTATCCAGGCAAAAGAGTGTACACTCCCCACCCTGTGACCAGTGGAACCTCCCGTCACGCTGCAAGGACCCATGTGCAAGGTGACACTGAACAAACACACTCTGTAACCGCCAGCTCCGTGACATCTGCAGGGAGCTCCTGGGTTCCCCGTGGGAAAGAGAGTGGGCCCTGACCCAATCAAATTGGAGGGGAGTCCTGGGAAAGGGGGTTGGGCTCTGGGTAGATCATATTGGGGCTGCAAGTCAGGAGGGTTTGCCACTGCAGGGACCCCACTGCAGACGGGGAGGAGATTCTGGCCTGCGAGGAGTGGATGTGTCTGTCTGGGGGTACGAGGGGCGACCCAGCCCATGCTCTGTTCTAAGGGTAGGCCCTGGGGCTCTGACATCACCCCAGACAGGTATTTTGTAGCGGTCATCCATCCTGGCTCCAGTGGGCAGGTAAGCAGCTGTGACACGCCTTGGAGGCACTGCTGGAGTCCACAATTCCCCAAGTGACCAAGTTGGCTCCCCATTCTCCCCCAAACTCCTCCCACAGCCCTGTGGATCACCCTGAAGCCTCCGCTCCTCAATCATCCCTGGGTGTCTGACACATTGGGATTCCAGAGAACAAGTCCTTTAAAAAGACACAGGCAAAGCCCTGGCCCAGCAGCTCTGGGCGTTTGCTGGCTGGGCAGTGAGACGTCTCCGATAGCCCCAGCTAGAGGGGTGGGGCAGGAAGGCAGATGGAACAGGGGCCTGTAGTACCTGGCTTGGCGGGGCTGGTGACTGGCCTGGCCAGGCCAGGGCTCAGGGTGGTGGCGGCGAGGGAGGGCTTTGATGGGTTCAGGCCATGTGCTCGGTGACATCAGGATTTCCCTTGACTCTAAGGTTTACATTAATTTTTATATCTTGACAATGGTTGCTCCCTCTCGCCCTCTGGCCTGGGGCGGCTCCTCCTGCGATGGTGCTGATTTCGATGGCATCGAATACTTTGGACTAAACTGCATCATTCAGTTGGAAAAGGGACCTGCTGGGTCAGAGCGGGAGAGTCAAGACCTAGACAGCAGGATCCACCCTCCCACCAGGCCCCGCTGAGCCAGGGCACCCCTGCATTGTGCCAACCTAGAGTGCATTGGTGCACAGACGCCTCTGTGCAGGATAGCACGTCCCACAGTCCTCCTCCCCTGGGTCCTGCTGAACCAAGGCACCCCCGCATAGTGCCAGCCAGAGAGTGTCTTGGTGCACGGCCCCCGCTGTGCAGGACAGCGATGAGCTGCTCCAGTCAAAGTCAGAGCTGGCTGTACAGAGTGGGGCTGAGGGAGGCGCTCTGCAGACTCACACCCCAGCAGCACAGCAAGCTCCAGCCTCGCCCTAGAGGGACATCTCTGCTGGGGCTGAGAAGGGAGTGTGGTCTCCCCAGCCCAACCACTGCTTGGCATCTCTGCAGAAACAGCCACAGGATCTGGGTTGAGACGCCCCAAACGTATCTGACAGCCGGGCCCTCAATAGCTGAGAGGGCAATAACGTGTGGTCACTACAGGAGCGGGAGCCATTGGAATCACTGCCCTAAAGGCTCTGTCACCCAGGCCAGGTGTCTCTGTGTCCATGCAAGGCGAGGGAGTCTTGCTCCCGCAGGTGTCCGACTAGCCCAGAGAAGGCCAGCACTGCCATGTCCGCAGCCCTAACTGCACCACGCCAGGAAGGGCCAGACCCTGCTGCAGGTTCTGAGGTATCCGCTGAGCAGATGGCAGTGGACAGTCATCAGGATCACCGGGTGTGCTCTGAACCTGCCCCGCTCAGCTCTTTGGGTGCCATTTACACCGGGGCAGAGCGAGACTGGGATGCCACCCAACTGCGATGGCACATTGCGCCAAGGTGACGGCCCCAAGCTGCACTGACTCTGGGTTCGCACTGACAGGCAGCAGGGCGAAGGCACCAGGCCTCTCTGACTCCAGCGTTGCAGTGATCAGCGCCAGGGGAAGGCACCAAGCTGCACTGACTGGGTGTCCAAGTGACCGGTGCCAGGGGACAGCGCCAGGCTGCACTGACTCTAGCATCGCGGTAACCGGTGCCAAGGGACAGTGCCAGGCCTCACTGACTCCGGGTTCATGGTGACCAGTTCCAGGGGACAGCGCCAGGCCGCACTGACTCCGGGTTCGTGGTGACCGTTGCCAGGCTGCACTGACTCCGGGTTCATGGTGACCGTTGCCAGGGCACAGCGCCAGGCCGCACTGACTCCGGGTTCGTGGTGACCGGTGCCAGGGCACAGCGCCAGGCCGCACTGACTCCGGATTCATGGTGACCGGTGCTCACCTCTCTCCCTCGCAGACTGTGCTATTCCACATCACCGTTCTGATTGTGCTGGTTTTCGGGCACATGTGGCTCCTCCTCGCACGGTGACAGCTCATCAATGGATGTCTGGTTAGTGATCCCTGGGGAGACAGGGCATGTGGGGCACTGGGGCTTGCTCATGAGACCG